CTGTACACTACTAGATTTACGATCCCGAGTCTTTTTTTTTGTTTGTCAAAGAACTCTCTACCTTGACTCTTTGCTAGAGCAAATCTATTATTAGACCCAAATGCAAACTTGAAAAAAACAAGAATGCCTGAGCAAAGAAAGAGGAAGAGGAAGAGCAACAGGTGAAACGGTTCCGTAGTCTTGCAAGCTCGAAAAAAAAAGATTAAGATAGAAAATACTTGTTTTTTTTCTCTCCTAGTCTTTGTTTCTCTTGTCGTTTTTTCTGTCCGGTGTACTACTACTGTTACTACTTCTTGGCCGCGACAAGCGACTACTACCAAGTCCAAACGTCATACATGTATCATGTTTTGTTTCAATCATATCGCGCCCCCTTGCGATAAGATTGTCAATCGGACATTTTAGAAGAAAAAAAAACACCGAGAGAGAGGGACTGTAAAAAAAATTACCGGAGCATTTCATTTCCTTGTTTTTCTATGTGCATACATTCATGCCGTGTAGATCATTTCCACATGAATTTGATTTTCCTATCCAATTTTTTTGATATGTAGGGATAAATTAGATACATTACAATATTACTTGGCTGTCTTTGGAAAAATAATCAGCAGAGGTGGAATGAGTACTTTAAGATTATCGATTGCTACGTCATTGATATGGCGCTTTGGTGTGTTTGTCCGTCCGTTACATCCGGTCATCCGTCCGCCGGTAAATACGTACGATACCAGGTACTAGGTACTAGGTACGTACGCATGTAGACACGCGCCCTGCGCGGTATTGGCTTCTGCACACCCCAGAATCTATAATACCAGCATGCTGCTCTTTCCTCTGAGGACTCTCTGGGATATCGCGCTTGTTTAAAACACCATAGTCGAGAGGAAGAGAGTATAAAAAAAGTGGAAATGCACCGACGCCAAGCTCGTCAGTGAGGCATACGTAGTGCGCATGTACGTACATGTACTGACATGGACATAGTAAGTAAGTTATTCATCCCGTGTACATGATGCGCCATGCAAAGTACAAGAAACCCACAATACCACCGAGCGCCAAATGCGCCAAACTGAGCATGACCAATGCAGATGATCTCCATCTCCAACCACATGGCTGAAACAAATCAAGGAGAGAGAGGTATTGTTGAATGACGTATGCAGAGAGTCGATGAAGAAGAAAAAAAGAGTAAGAAAAGAATGACCTTAGGTGAGGAAATGCGAATAGTGTCCCGGCACTCTTTGTCGGCATTTTTCGCAGTCGTCCCGATAGCCCATGCTGAAACGGCCCATGCCCGTTAGAGCACCACTTCGCTTCCTGCCGCGAGGTGTGTTGGGTGAAGCGGTCGTCGGTCGTGTCTCCGTGTCCATGGCATCAGTCGTGCTTGCTGGCGAGACACAAAGCCGTGACAGTTGCGACTGGGTTTGGGCGGTGGGCGTGTCGGGAATGTCGTCGTCTTCGGATATGGGCGAAGGCATGCGCCTACTTCGGTCTTCATCTAAACCTTGTTTGGGTCCTTTCCATGCTGGGGGTGGGGCCTGCATAGGCGGTACACGGATGCTATCGATATCCAATCCGCCCGCTGAGCCGCTTATCGGGTAGCCTACACCGTTCATTCCTCCCCTCCTAAAACAAGGGTGTATGGGCGTTGGTATCCGGCCATTGCTGGTTGCAGAGTCCGAGTTGAACAGTGAGGGTTGGAGCATGGGCGGTCGCATAAAGGTGCTACCAAATGAACTGAATGCAGGCGACTCTGGCGGCTGGCTACGTGCATCTGCATCATCGTCCATATCTATGTCGTAATCCATTTTACTCGATTCCCTTGATATGCAGAAAAAGCCATCTTGAATGGAATCCGGTGAGTCCAGTATTCCGTGATCTGATTGTACCGGTGTCATGGAACGGATGTCCGTAAACAGCCTAGGTGGAGAGGGTGTCTGAAAGGGTCGGTGGGGTAGAGTTGATTGTGATTGGAAATGAAATTGGTCATTGTTTGTGTGGTTTGCAAAGGCTGGCCGTGATTTCTGGGCCCTACTGGTTAGCCAAAGTCAAGAGTTGGATGTATAGTAGGCTGACGTACCTTCGTATACCTGTCCTCGTCGCAGTCGGAATCCTCGTCAACGTCCCGATCGCGCTTCCGGTAGGTAGTCTGAAACATGGACATGGCGGCTCGTGCAAGCAGGCGCTCTTGGGTAATTATTGTAATTATTCGATGGTGCTGACGCGCCCAGCAGGATGTGGAAGTGGGGGAACGAGCAGACTTGGGCAGCGGACAAGGCGATGGAGGGGTATGTAAATGAGGATCCGGGGTGGCAGCTGAAGCGCCTGAAAATATGTTTTGAAGCAAGCAGGCGAGGGGCTGATACGGCTATCAGGGGCCGTCGCGGTGTTTCAGGTCGCATGAAAAGAACCCTGGTTTGTGTTGTGGAGTTGCGCGCCTCTGATGGCCTGGCGCTCGGGTGGGGGAGAGTCCTGTTTGGTCGTCGGGAAGTCGAGGGCCCGTTGCCTGCATTGGCAGGCTCCTAGGCGAAGCAACGATTCTGTAAAGGATGGTGTGGCGTAGCGTGGAGGAGTCGTGACCTCGGCTTGCAGAGTGAGGCCGACAAGCAGCTGGCCGCTGGGCACTGCCTCATCACGTGGATCGTATTCTATACAGTAGTATATGCATGAGAAAGGGGAGCTGCGGTGGAGGTGGTTTTGTTCGTCGCCGCGAGCCGCAGGTGGCGCATTCTTGTGTTTCTACAAGGCAGCTGAACAGGCGCCAGCAGCTGTCGAAGGATTGTGTAGAAAGGAGTAGTCGGTGTGGGCGTTGGCTGCTGGCCTGAGGCGGCTGGGGATTGGCGTGGACGGGACGAGTGCGGCTTCTCAGAGTCTTTGGGGGATGACAGGATACCCTGTACCTACTTTGCCTCTATATATGTACTTAAAAATGTATCTATATATATATATATATATATACCATGTGCATGTGTATACATTTCATACCATACATATACATACATGTGTGTACATATGCATACAACAAGTATGTATGCGTAGAAGATTGTCATCACAGCAGCCAACAGGAAGACAGGCATTGCCATCTGTCAGGCCCGGGCTTATTAGCGAGCATGCAGGGCGGTGTATCGATAACGCAACTCTAAATGGCAGCCAGAACGGACCATGCAAGCCCCCCACCCTGCCAAAAAAGTCTCACTCCACTTCAAAATAACTTAGTAGCAAATCTATGTCTGACTGTACTGTCAACGCGCCTTCAGCTTGCCACGCGCCTACACATATCTTCTCACCTGAAAACCCCACCAGCACTTGGTCCTGCATCTACTGCTTACTTTGGCGCCTCGAGCTGAATCAATTGACTCTACCTATTCACGCTATCGCTTGCTAGAGCAGCATATAAACAACCCCGCCTCTGCGTCTCCGTGTCAGTTTACACCCCTCCTACCCTCCAATTGCCAGTCATCTAGCTGTTCTGTATGTGGAGAGAACGCAATGACTATTTTTCTTTGACGTCTCAGAGTATATGCTAACATTGAAAAGTGTACTTACAACACTTTCGCCGCCTCCACATACACAGGCTCGTCCCACGAACATGGCCTCCCACGACCAAACCACCAACGACGACGTGCGCGGTAAACACCCACCTGGCGAAACCGTCTGCGAAACAAGGGCACTGACATTGCTGCACAGTACTTGGTTATGACCCACTCATCCCTCCCCAACTCCTCGCCCAAGAGCTTCCCATCCCCGACCATGCCCAAAAGACGGTCCTCCAAGGACGCAAAGATGCTGCCAGCATCATCACACAAAAGGATGACCGCCTCCTCGTCATGGTTGGGCCCTGCTCGCTCCACGACCCAGAATTGGCCGTCGAGTACTGCCAGCGTCTCAAGGCCTTGGCCGACAAGCTTCAAGACAACCTCTGCATCATCATGCGCGCCTACCTCGAGAAGCCACGAACAACAGTCGGCTGGAAGGGCCTGATCAATGACCCAGACATTGACGAGACGTACCAAATCAACAAGGGCCTTAGGGTCTCTCGCAAGCTCTTTGTTGACCTTACATCTGCTGGTATGCCCATTGCCTCGGAGATGCTCGACACCATCTCTCCACAGTTCCTTGCAGACCTCATCTCCCTTGGCGCCATTGGTGCCCGGACAACGGAATCCCAGCTCCACCGTGAACTGGCGTCTGGTCTCTCTTTCCCCATTGGCTTCAAGAACGGCACCGACGGAGGCTTGACAGTGGCTGTTGATGCTATCGGTGCTGCGGCAGCAAAACATCACTTCATGGGTGTTACCAAGCAGGGTCTAGCTGCCATCACCAGAACCGCGGGTAATGAGCACTGCTTCGTTATTCTGCGTGGTGGATCTAAGGGCACCAACTATGACAAGGACAGCATCAAGGCTGCCCGCGAAGCTTTGAAGAAGAAGGGCCTGCCCGAAGTCATGATGGTCGACTGCTCACACGGTATGTTTTATCGACTCATTCTGAGCTTTTCAGTCAAAATTGGGACACGCCACTAACATACGTACAGGCAACTCGAACAAAAACCACCGCAACCAGCCCCTTGTAGCCAAGGACATTGCTGACCAAATCCGCAACGGTGAGACTGGCATTGTCGGTGTCATGATTGAGTCCAATATCAACGAGGGCAACCAAAAGGTTCCACCCGAGGGCCCTAGCGGTCTTAAGAAGGGCGTCTCCATCACTGATGCCTGCATCGATTGGGAGACTACTGTTGAGACGCTTGAGAACCTTGCTGCTGCTGTCGCGGAGAGACGGGCACACAAGACCAATGGCGCACAATAGAGTCCCTATCACGCATCATATTTTTTGTATGAAAAAGGGGCTTGTGTAAGCGTATCTGGTAGTATAGGGCGTTTTTCCATTCGTCCATCCTAAAGTTTTATCATATAGGAGTTTAAAATGAAGAAGAAGAAATTTTTTGTCTCGGATAGACACGGCTATGGGCTTCAATGTTGCTATGAGGTTTACGAAATACACTTATGAACATAAATATATCTTTCCATTTTGCTTTCCTTGTAGGCTTGATGCCAAAGCATTTCAGCGCTTAAGATCCAACTGGGGTATCATAAGTGACCATGTTATGTGAGCCATCGACATGAACACCTCGTTATTCATCATCCTCATCCTCATCATCATCTTCCTCCGCCCTCTCGTGCAGTGTACTTCTCCTGCTTCCCTCGTTACTCGTTCTCGCAGCCACCCTATCCGCTCTCTCGCCCACAAACACATCTCCCGTGCACTCTGTCCGGCACCTCGGGCACTTTCTTTCTCGATCCCTTCTCCCCCTATAGTAGCTATTCGCACACGCATCGTGCCACCTCACTCCGCACTCTTTGTTATTGCACCTGATACCGACCGTGACAATCTCCCTGCAACCCTCACAATCTCGGATGCGAATGATTTCTCTTCCATCTTCGTTCTCGTCAGCAGACTCATTGTATGTCTCCTTGAGGTAGGCGCGGAGTTCCATCAGGGCCCGGGGAGCAAGTGAATAGTATCCCGCGCGGGACTTGTTGAAGAAGCCCTGTGCTACGAGGCTGTCTAGCACGTTGTCGGCTTCGGCAATGGAAATGCTCGTGTCTGCGCCTTGCGTGTCTGGCATTTCGCCGTTGAATTGCGTCGGTGTGCCGTTGAACTGACTTAGTCTGTTGCGTCGCGATACGCGGGCGAGCTGCGATGCTTCTGTGTGCTTTACAGCCATTGTCTCGCGGACGCTAGTGTTGTTGGTCTCAAACATATGGTCCAGGAGGCGCCGGATGTATGCGATTTCGTTGGCCGAGAAGGTGGTTGCAAGCTGTGTGAGTGCGTCGCTTGTGTTATTCACAAGTGCGTACACAACGTCTTTGCTTTGCTGGTCACGCATGGAGCGGATTTCATAGTCAAAAGTTTCAAGTTTGGCGTTGATGGTTTGTATTGTCGATGTCAGGTAAGGCTGCGTCACATCGCCTTCTGTCCATGGGCGGTTGGGGTCTACGGGATATGTCAGTATTTTGCAAAGCCTGCATTTCGCGTGGTAGCTTACTGTATGCTGTCATTATATGGGCTAGAATGGGCTTCATCTCCTCCATAGTGAGAACGCCGTTTGTCTGAAAGGCCTGGAGAAATGCGCGGTGTATTGAATTGTAACCCTCATCTTCTATGGGTGCGCGGACAAACGGTGATTCGCTTCGAGACATTTTTCTGGAGAATATGAGAGTCCAGATGTGGGGTTTTTGTTCAAGAGTTGATAGGCAATCGATGTACGCAAGGGTGGGGAAATTTGGCGACACGAGAACGCGAAAGCACGTGAACAGAAGATATTACTACCCCAGATTTGTTCTAGCATTAAACATCATGTCATAGATTGTCGCCACTATAAAGCCTTTCATCCATGAATCAGCCATAAAAATCAAACTTTGCAGCCCGAAGAATTACACATGAGTGACTTTCTTCTTTGCACCATGCTGAGCTTGAATCCAAGTTGCTTTACGCTCACATCTAACAATACTATATATTCATCATTGCAGAAAAGCCAATTGGACACTGAACAGGGTTCGCCCTTATACATGCATGCATCTAAAGACCCTAAAGTCCTATGTAGTCTAGCCAATCCCAACGCCTGTCCAGTCATCTAATGTCTTGCCCTACCTCTTGCGCCTACACAATACAATATCTCGTCATCCCAGCATACGTATATCCTCATTTTCGTAGATTCATGGTCTGTGCAGTCTTAGACTGGCAGGTCTGAATTTCTTGTCGCTCCACTTATTGCCTGCAGAGCCTTTGCAATGTAGGGGCCAATTATCGGTACGTTGCTAACAAATCCCGCAATGGTTGCGAGAAAATCGCCGAAAAGAACGAGGATGCCATATAGCTCGACTATGAAGCCGATGAATGCCCAGCGCATGAGAATGAGCGATATGCCGGCAACGAAGGCAAGGGTGCCTTTCCATTTTTGTTTGCGGGCGAAGAAGGCGACCGTTTTTGTTGTTCCGATGATGAGTGTAAGGCCAATTATAAAAAGTATCTGTCGGGGATGCGTTAGAGACGCTCGGGGGAGGGAGGGGAGGGGAGAGAGACATACATTGCCCATTGCTAGCCTTTCCATATGTCAGTAATACTCAAAGGCATGATCGATTTATACATACATGGCGCGATCAAAAAACATCATGACACCGCCCATTAAAAAAAGTCCGCCTATTCACCATGTCAACCTTGCGTCGCATGACAGGCGCATTCGCAAAAATGAACGCATACCTACCTCCGGAGCAGAAGGCGACCCCAATCTCTATTCGTCATGTTAGAAGACATTCAAACGAACAGTCCAAGGACTGAGGGGTTGCGCATCTTACTTTGGGTATCTGAAAGCCACATAGTCGGCATCCTGGATGTGTGTGATGGGTGTAATTCGCTACGTGCGAGGCGGTAGAAGTAAGGAACGTCGAGGCAGGGCCACAAGTTAAAGAAAAAGATGCGAGCAACAGAAGTGATGCCTAGGCTCGAGGAATATCTGGCATGAAAGTGGTAACTCTGGTATGCCTGTTTCGTGTCCCCTCGGCGGAAGTTGAGACGCGGGCGCGCTGGACTGGTGGGCCAACCAGCCCGAAGCTCACCCCTGCTAGCGCATCTGTTCCTGTGGGAGACGCCATAAAATTCTGGCTGCATGTTCCTCGCACTCGAACGAACCATCTTCACCCCCCACGCTGGATGGATGCAAGTACCGGTACACATGAGCAATTAATGTATTGTTCTATTATGGCACCCACGTTACGCTACAAACACAATAATCAACGTAGACATCGCCTTGACAACAGCGTGCTCTGAGCTGCTGTAACTAGGAATCCTCACGCGAGATCCTGGTATACTGTCTTATGGGCGTAGAAGAATGCTGGATCACGGTTAAGCCGGAGCACCTCCTTGAACCATGGGCCGAGAGGCTTGTGGTGGGTGGAGAGTAGCTTGACTTTGATGATCATACATATACACTGGAAGCTAGCCCATCCAGCAAGGACCTATGGCTGAAGGCTCGCACAATATAGCCGGCGTCATCCATCTTGAGTTGGTGCGCCATTTGCGAGAGCGCGGGTGTAACGCTACGCAATACAATGTTGATCTCACTTTGTCGAGTCAGCCAATAACTGCTGACCCTAAGCCGGCTATGTTGTGCGACATGCTGGGCTGATGTGCTGCAAGCACCCCAGTGAGCGCGGAACTGCAGTAACTGTCGCATCACTATATCCAGCCCTCATTTCAGGACAGTATGTGCGCCTCTTGCCGCGAGATAGCCTTCAGATACGTTCTGCGGCATTGTCCTGATGCTGCCAAACACTTCCTTGTTGTGGTATCTTAGACGCGTCTTGGGATCCGTATATGGTGCAGGAAGGCCGGTAATGTCGCAGTACTTTTTCTGGCTGCTTGGGTGGAAGCTCGGTGCAGACTCGATGTTTGTGTACGTGGGTGCAGGGCCGGCTGCGTTCCCTCCCGCAGCTGCTCTGCCATTCTTCTCCAGTACCAGCGTACTCAAGCTTTGAGCCGCCTGTGCAATGTTGGGCTGTCGACCAGCGTTTCCAGCTGCATTGGTGCCTTCACTGGCGGCAGCAGGGGTTGAAATGCCACTGTTGTTCTGTGTGGCCATTACCGACGCCTCTTTCCGTGAAGCTTCGCCGAGGATCTGCTTGAGGTTCTTGTTGCGGCGCTGTGGTGGCTTCCAGTTGGGATTCCGGAAGGGCTTGGAGACTGCATAAATGTCGAGCTTGTCCAGGAGCGTTTGGTGCGTCTTTTCGTCTGAAGCGGCTGTCAAGGGCGCCATAGTGTGAGGATTTGACGGTTAGGATGCGATAGTTGTGCTTGGCTATGTCGCGTTCGTTCAGCAGTGCCTGGTCGCGTCGCTCGTCTAGAGGCTTTGGGGGCTAATGTTGCGTGTGAAGTAGAAGAGTATACAGTCTCGGAACACACGCTTCTCTGTTTCTAGCCACAGAGGGTGAAAGAGATGGGTACCGTGTACGTGTAGGGATGAGGGTGGCTGCGCTGAGAGACGGAGCTTGCGGAGGTGGAGCTCCTCCGAGGGACCTGCATGAGGTCGTTCACACTAGCTGTTTTGATCCTCCCCACCAAACATCTCCAAGGCACGCGCACTCCATAGCAACGCAATACAGTCACAGACATGGTGAGCTATACGAGCACGCCTCCTATAGCCAATTCGTGTATCTAACTGATCTGCAGGAAAGTCCCCATGAACACCAGCAAAGCCAACTGCTTTCACGCATCATTGTCAATGTTGTTAGTCTACCCACGTATTGGAGCAGCAAGGCCCATAGTTATACTGACTACCGCAAAGGAGAAACTAAACGAGGCAATCATGATGTTGAACAAGAACCTCCAGGAGATCAACATCCAGAATATGGACACGGAGCTAGTGGCCCAGATGTTCAAGAACTACCAATCCAACGTGCTCTTCCACCTTGAAGGTACACAGGACATGACCCGATGAGTGTTTACAGAAACGACTGACAGCTTCTAGCAACGAACGGTCTTAAGGATCCTGCGTGAGCGGGAGCATGCACGGCCTCTCATGTGTATATAGATTGTGTCTTCAGCATGCAGTAGACGGCGGATGAGCCTAGTAGATAACCCATGCATGCATCGCAGTAGGATCACAACTGAAGTGACCAGGTGCCCAAATAATGAGATATGGTAGTACTACAACTCGTACGCAGAAGCATAATACGTAGTGGGCCCAGACAAGGCATATATCCAAGCAGCATGCGGAGACGGGCCCGGACCACCGAGCACCAGTACCCAGAGAGCCTCACGACATGACAATCACCATGTCGCGCAAACAATCGCGCTAACCACTCACGCAATACACACACGCCCCACGCTCCTCCAGCTGCGACATGATCTAGACACCACCCATACAGCTTCAGCCCATCTCCCACTCGACGCAGACATGGCTCCCTCGGCCATTGACGAGGCGCCTCAACCCGCCGGTCGCAATCCACCCAAGCCTCCGCCAAAGATATGGAGCGTGTCAGAGCCACCTTTCGAGGGCTTTCGGCCTGTCGATCACGAAGGCTGGTCGCGTAGCAACAGCGAGACGGCCATAGTCATCGACAATGGTACCATTCACGCATCCACCATCGCCTTCTTGTCGCTGTACAAGCTGACGCATTGCAGGCTCCTCAGCAGTTCGCGCCGGATGGTCTTTTGACTCGAAGCCGCGACTCTCAGTGCTCCCCAACATGGCCAGATATCGTGATCGCAAGTTGAACCGGACCTTCACCTTCATCGGAGCAGACGTCTACGCGGATGGCACGGCGCGAGGACAATCCAAGCTCGTCTACGAACCCGGCAGCAACATCATCAATAACTGGGACGTCATGGAGGGCGTGCTAGACTACTGCTTTGTCAAGATGGGCGTCGACGGTCAATCGGGGCGCATAGAACGGCCCGTTGTCATGACTGAGCCTATCGCCAACCTGGGCTATTCAAGAAAGAGTATGTGAGCCTGCGCAGGAAGGAACCTTATACTCTTGTGTTGCAGCCCGCTAATCGTGTATTCCACAGCTATGTCTGAGATCCTGTTCGAGTGCTACGGTGCACCCTCGGTCGCATATGGAATCGACTCGCTCTTCTCCTACGCTTACAACGGTGGTCGCAGCGGTTTGGTCATGGATTCTTCATACACTTCCACGCACGTTATTCCCGTCGTCAACTCAAAACCTCTACTATCGCAAACAACGCGACTCAACTGGGGCCGCTTCCAGTCCGCACAATACCTACTGAAGCTTCTGAGGCTAAAGTATCCTACCTTCCCTGGGAAAATCAGTGACAATCAGGCCGAGGATCTTGTCCGCGAGCACTGCTATGTATCGCAAGATTACGAAAATGAACTCAGCCACTATCTAGACTGGACAGGCCTTGAGGACCGAGATCACACAATTCAGTTCCCCTACACAGAGCAGATTGTAGTGCAGAAGACGGAAGAAGAACTAGCCGCCGCTGCCGAGAAGCGCAAGGAAAGTGGCCGAAGATTGCAGGCTCAGGCCGCCAAAATGCGTCTGGAGAAATTGAAGAAGAAAGAGGAAGAGCTCGAGTGGTGCCTACAGTTGCAGGCACAGCTTGAAGAGATTACTACAAAAAAGGAAAAGGCCCGTGTACTTGAGTCCAATGACTTTGACGACGAGAACCAACTCAACAAACGAGTCAAAGAACTAGAGTTCGCCATCAAGAAGGCCCGGAACAAGGATCTTGGCGACGTAGAAGAGGAGCAGGCCGAAGCACCTACTTTCCCCCTCCTCGACGTTCCAGATGATCAGTTAGATGAGGAAGGCATCAAGCAAAAGCGGCAGCAACGGTTGATGAAGTCCAACTACGACGCCCGTCAACGCGCAAAGATAGAGAAGGAAAAGGAAAAGGCACGATTGGCAGAGGAGCAGCGCCTTGATGACCAACGGCGAGAGGAAGATCCTCAAGGCTGGATTGAGGAGCGCAGGGTAGCACGACAAGCCATTATCCAGAAGATCAAGGACCGTGAGCGACTAAAGGCCGAACTTGGAAACCGCAAATCCCTCGCCAACCAAATGCGCATGAAATCCATCGCGAACCTTGCATCTGACACCCCGACCAAGAAAAGACGGCGAGGTGGCGGCGACGACGACACATTTGGTGCCGATGATGCTGACTGGGGCGTTTACCGCACTATTGCAACAGGTGAAGGTTCTGACGATGAGGAGGAAGAGGACCTCTCCAAGAACCTCAAAGAGATAGAGTCTCAACTCCTCAAGCATGATCCTGACTTTACGGAAGAGTCAACACGTGAAGCGCAGACTGATTGGACCAAGAGCATACTTCATGCTTTCCTGCATGGCCCCTACCCGTTTGATCCAGAGTCACAAAAGGAAATCAACCAGATCCATCTTAATGTCGAACGCATCCGCGTCCCAGAAGTCGTCTTCCAGCCTACAATTGCTGGCCTCGACCAAGCTGGCATCGTTGAGATCGCATCCAACATCCTCACCGAGCGCTTAGGCGATTCTCCCTACCGTGATGACGTGTTGAAAGACATTTTCCTTACGGGTGGTAACACCATGTTCCAGGGCTTCGAGGAGCGGCTCAGAGCCGAACTGAGAGCCGTTTTACCGGCGGAACAGACAATCAATGTACGAAAGGCGGGTGATTGTGTGCTGGATGCTTGGAAGGGAGCTGCACAGTGGGCTGCGAAGAAAGAGTCGAAACGCAATTTCATTACCAGAGAGGAGTTTTTGGAAAAAGGAGCAGAGTACATCAAAGAGCATGATCAGGGTAACGCGGCTTACTAGGCGATTGCAATCTTTTGTTTCACTTGTTTTTGTCATTGTTGAGCTTTGGTTCTCTTGTAGTCTAACATTAATGGCGGGTAGATGGCGTATTCTTCGACTATGGTGGACTTTGCAGATTGAGGTCTCTGATGCTTTTGGTATTCGAAATGAGACATTCGATCGTCCTAATTTACTTCTTGATTCAGTCAATCATACGACGTGGGTATGTGAATCTTGTTGGATTTGCATTCATATCTGTTGGCCCCCATAAAGTCAACATCGTCGTCTGAACCTGCTCCTGGTTGTCTGCTGCAATGGTACCAGATAATGACCTTTATATCTATCATTGGTCTTGCTTGCAGATTAGCGGTCAGCATCGGGCAATGCTCTTGTGCTGCAACGTCCCTCTCAATCGCGCCAAAAGCCTCACTTTACCGTCTTTCAATCTAGATGTGAGAAGAATGCGCGGAGGAAAGGCAATCCTAGATCTTAGGTCCCACAGTATTGCGCTGTTTCTGCAAAGCTTAGTCGTTGAACTACTAGTAAGGCAGGTACCAACACAATGGTGGATCCGAGATCTGCCAGCACTGTCGACTGGGGAGATGCTCACCTCACGTAACACTTAAAGGGCCGACTTGACGTTTCGGTCGAGCGAAGCAATTCGTCAGCAGCTTTGCGGACACCCGCTCTATTGCAGCCTGGGTTATTCCCATTGTACAACCGGACCAGCGCGGCTTTGTTGGATCGGGATGATGGGCAAAAGTGTAAGAAATAAGGTTTGAGCCGCGTGTCTTAGTACTATAAGAATACGTGTCAACCACCACCATCTGTATTATACGTTTTCCTGCTTTTTGAGATCTTTGTGGTACTATCTAGAGTATATCCTACTACAATCTAGCGTTTTTTCTCAAATACTTTGCATAAACATATCACTAAGCCAAACATGCCTACCACGGTTCTCATCACGGGCGGAAACCGCGGTATGCACCTTTGGCCTTGCTTTCCCATGCCAATCTTCTCATGAATTCACCTAGGGCTTGGTAAGGCTTTGGCAGAGGCATATCTTTCCGTCCCAGACACAACCGTGATAGCCACAGTACGCGACACAGCCAAAGCCGACGCCGCGCTGTCGCCTCTCCCCAAGGCCTCGGGATCCCGTGTTCTGACTGTGTATATGGAAATGGGATCCTTTGACACCATAACAGCTGGTGTCGAAACACTAAAGACGACGCACAATATCACTTCCATTGATATTGCCATTGCCAATGCAGGTCTTGTCGGGCCAACCCTCGGTCTCGCAAATACTCCCTCGTCTCAGCTCCAACCATTCATTGATGTCAACGCATACGGTCCCTTTGAGCTGTTCAAGGCCGTTCTACCTCTTCTTCGCGCTTCTACTGCCGAAACCAAGGGCAAATTCATCTACGTCTCGAGTGGCATTGCAAGCCTGAATGGCATGCTTAACATCCGTAAGTGGCATCCATATGTAAAGATTATCGCACCTTGATGTGTCGGCTGTACATGCAGCCAGGTACCGGGCTTCTCGTTGGTATCGAAATTTTTCGCAGGGCCTTATGCTAACTTTGTGTCTTTCCCAATCAAAGTACCCATAGCCGGATACGGAGCAAGCAAAGCACTAGCCAATTACTTGTTCAAGTGGCTAGCTCTCGACAACAAGGACGTGATTGTATACTCATGCGACCCAGGGTACGTGTCTATTGCCTTTACATCATCATCATCATCATCATCATCGCTTTGTCCCTGTAAAGGGAAATGAAAATGTGCTAATCACCCTCGTACCGACAGATTGGTCGACTCTGATGGTGTTCGTGAACATCTCGAGCAGGCAAAGGCTTTGGGCCTCGACATGTCTTTGTTTTCCTTTTCGCCAGCGGACGAAGTTGCGCGTGCAATGCAAAAATCGGTATGTATGGTTGGGATGATGGACGTTGAAAGCATCTAAGGAAAATGGGGAAAATGGGCTGACATGGAAACCAAATAGATTGCTGCTGCGAACGAGAGCTCAAGCGGACAGTTTCTGTCGAAAGAAGGTACCCAGATGCCGTGGTAAAAAAGACGAGTTATTGTTGCTATATGATAAGGCGGGAGCCTAGACGGAATCTTTGATGTTTAGACATTGGATTCAGTGTATCGCAAATCAAGCGTAGCCATAGAATCACCGCTGCTTCTCAATTTCTGTTACCCTCTACTGTGCCGTGTGCCTGCGTATTCTGGCTTTTACAATCACATACATGAAGAATCAAACTTGTATTCCCAGGATACCATCGTTCTTTCAGAAAAAAAAACTTCTCCTACACAACGAAACTAGGTAACCTATCCATCGTTCTCTTTTCCAAGTGGCGGCAGCAATGTGATGATACGCCGGATGTCTCTAATTTCATAGAAACACTCGTAGTGCACTTTGGCATACGGAATAGCACGCGAATGATCGTCCGTTGCATCTGCGGCGGGATCTGGTTGATTGGCAAGAAGCCTCTCGTAGTATGGGTTGCAGTATTCTAGAAAGCGACGGGGATGTTCTGTCATGTATTCCCTGTACCGGTGAGCTAATGCATATGGGTCTTTGTCTAGTGGAAGTGGCTCTGTCATGATATTATAAATGCTGATGCACGAGTATGATATGAGAGATTGCGTTGCTGGCTAACTACCTCTTTGGACATTTTGATGATATCGGGACAAAGGAGGAATGTCTTTGTTGTTCGTGGGATAGTGACTATAATACTGTGAGACTCTGGGTCTACTAGTTTCTTTCAGACTTGAAAGAATACGCTGCCTGGAAGGATTAAGCTTATTGCACCGATGTGTTTGCTTGATGGTACTACTCTTTCATCACCAAGTCTCGGAGAGAAATCGAGCTGGAATGCAAGGGAAGAAGACAATTGGAGATTACAGTAAGTCCCGAACTTCCCAGCACAATGGCTTGTGTTCCATATAGCATATGAATCGCCAGTTTTTCGAGCAGTGACATTGCTCATAGATGTCGTTGAAGCGACAGCGACAAAAGCGATATGGAACAGTAGTATCGCATGTGTGTTCACAACCGTCGCCCATGGAGGCTAGCGTCAAAAGTGGATCCTGGACAAACTAGTGTGTGCGCTTGGGTAAGTGGGGCTTAGCGCAGAGGCTAAGAGTCTGGCAAAAATTGAGCTTCCGAACAATTTTTCGAACACCACTTCAACATGTCGACGAAGTCGTACGTTTGTTCCACCAAGTCGTCATGTCAACACTAACCAGAGGACTGCAGAACTGTTCCAACGCAGAGCGACATTACGCTTGTGCCCGAGAACCTTCTCAAGAAGAGAAAGTCTCAAGAGAAGGCTCGTGAGGAGCGCGCAATCGCAACCAGGGAAAAGCGAGGTACGAGCTATCTCGCATGCCATGGCATACTCCAAGAGGCCGATTACGATGATTATAACAACCACACTATCGGCTAGACTCCGGTCAATGTTGTCGAATTGTTAACCATCTTTCGGGAATGAGAAAATCGTCCTCTTGGAATCTCATGGCATGCTATCCAGTCATGAGGCAATGCTGACACGGGACAGACAAGAACAAGAAGAAGCGCGAGGTCATCTTCACAAGAGCTGAGAAGTATGTCAAGGAATACCGCGATGCCGAGAGGGAGCGCATAAGGCTGTCACGCGAGGCCAAGAAGAGCGAGAGTCTCTATGTGCCCGAAGAGCCAAAGCTTGCCTTTGTCGTGCGCATCAAGGGTATCAACAAGATTGACCCCAAGAAGCGCAAGACATTGCAGCTTCTGCGGCTGCTCCAGATCAACAATGGCGTCTTCATAAAGCTTACCAAGGCTACCATGGAGATGTTGAAGATTGTCGAGCCGTTTGTTGCCTATGGTTACCCGAACCAAAAGTCGGTCCGTGAACTTATCTACAGTAAGAGTGACCCCAGCTTGAAGAGATGTTGGCAGTACTGACGTGATTGGCAGAGCGTGGTTACGGCAAGGTTGATAAGCAACGGGTTCCCTTGACTGACAATGAGATCATCGAGGAGAACTTGGGCAAGTACGGCATGATCTGTATGGAGGATCTGATCCACGAGATCTGCACTGTTGGCCCCAACTTCAAGGCGGCGTCCAACTTCTTGTGGCCGTTCAAGCTCAACAGCCCAACGGGCGGCTTCCGCAAGAGGAAGTTTAAGCACTACATTGAGGGCGGCGACCTGGGCAACCGGGAAGAGAAGATCAACGAGCTGATCAGGCAGATGAACTAGTGCAGCGATTTGTGTTTTGTCTTTGTTCAAGGGTTGGCGCGCAAAAAGCTGGTCGGATATACCACGGGATGGAGCATTTACATTGGCGTTTTGGAACACATTGACGGAAATGGACAGCATGGTTCCTCTGACGAGTCTAAGTACTTGAGTAGTTGGGTGCAAGGCACCAGTATTTTGAATGCATATGACGACGCAATCCTAATCTTGTACAATGTGTTGGCTGAGAAACGTTGTCTGTCCGACAATGGACGTGGTGAATGGGGCTTGAGGATAGAGTTTATGTAAGTAGTAGTATATGGTCTTGTGCTTGGTGGTGGCTTTTTGTCTGGTCGCCCTGGTTGATGGCAGCATGGAGGTCAGAGCTAGGAGGCGCTGCCTGTGCCTGTGCCTGTGCCTGTGCCTGTGCCTGTGCCTATGCCTGTGCCACGGAGCCCGAAGGCCGAAGACGTGCAGCAGACGGGCGCGAGGGTCGAGTGGGCATTTTGAAATGCGATACAGGCGTGCCGAGCAGGGCAAGGCAGCCGTCGCTGAAACACGGGCGTGAGGAGACGTGGTGTTGGCCGGGGGGGGGGGGTCCACTAGGAGCGGCCAGGTGTCGCTCGTGATGTTCGGGTGCAGCAGCAAGACAAGGGCTGGGGGCCCGGTTGGCAGCCAGGCCTCGCACTCGCAGCAGCCTGGCGCTGGCCGTCTTTCACGTGCCGGCGGCGCGGGGCTAGGCCGAATCAGGCCAGTAAGAGAGTGACAGGCTGGCTAGCCAATCGACCAAGGGCTGCCGCATGTTCTATGAGATTTTTTCCTTCTAGCTGCCCACCCTCACCGTACCCAGTCGCCGGCGTCAAATTGAGGGCAATCTCGTCCAAACAAGATGGAAATTGACGCCACGTCAGGCGGCGGCAATGGCCCACGGGGTCCGGGTGGCCGCGCTGTGTGACCCAGGCGAATCGTGTGGTGCCTGAAGCCACACATTGCCGTGCCCATGGGCGAGCAGCGAGCGTAACCAAGGCGATGGAGCGGCCAGCAGCCAATGGCCAGCGACACAGGGGCTGGCGGTCGGAGGTGCTGGGTGGAGCAGGTGGCCGGCCTCGAACACACTCACATGCATCCCAAGAGGACAGGGTGGGCACTTGCTTATGCAATTGCACCGAGCCCAGAACGACGTGCCGAGCGCTTGGGGGCTGCGAGTGACGATTGCAGTTGCACAGGCTGTGGGTGGTGAGGAGGCGGAGGCGGAGGCGGTAGGTGTACTGTGTAGGGTTGATGACGCCCACCCACCGGCCGCACCCATGCCCATGCCATCTGCATCCCAGCCCAGCCCGCTTTCGCCGCCGACGTTGTCACCGCCACCGTGGTGTTCGGGCTTGGGGATCGATGTGCAAAGGTCACGCTGATCGCACCACAGCTCCGCATCGTCGTGCTCGTCTCCTGCTACTGCTGCCTTTGCACCTTACTTGCGCTGCACTCGTGCAGCATGTAGTAGTATAGTCATAGGTCATAGGTCGTGGCCCCCGCTCGCCGACACCTACAGTAAATGTCTGACGCTTCCGTGGGCCACCTGTCGTGGGAGGCAGCAGCTCAACGGCCGCGGCGGCACGATTTTTTTTTTCACGCATGGCGAACGGGCCCGACGTGACGGTGGTGGATATCGCCATCAGGCTGCGATTCGTGGGCTTTGCGTCTTGATGCCCACCATCACCATCACCAAAGCAAAGAAGAGAAGCGCCAGGACACATAGGCTCCTGCTGCGTGCTACAATCACAGCCTTCGGCTCGTGTCTGTTGTTATTGCTCCTGCTGATGCTGATGCAGCCGCCAATATGGCCCCCTAATTTTGGATAGATATTAAACAATGAGGCACTCGAGCACAGTCGCAATGCCACGCGCTCGTCTGGCGGCGCCTGTTCGCTGCTTGGATTGCTGGCCCTCACCTCAGGCCTCTCCAGGCGCAGCGGCCCAGCCAGCCCGCTACTGCAGGCATGCCGAAAAGAGGGCGGGAGGCCGGATTGCACGAGGAGAGGCGGGCGATACGTGGCTCGCTGTGGTCGCAGGCGCAGACGGCGGTCCCTGACGGCGTTCATTGGCTTGGGGCGTCTTGGAAGTGCATTCGCTCGCTCCAATGCGTGCACAACCACTGCAGCACTCCTGCGTCAGGAGTCATGAGCGGTAGTCACCGCAAGCCGTGGGCGGAGGGGGGAGACATGATGACCCACTAAACCGCAAGAGGCAGAGTTTTCATAGCACATGAGTGGGCACACACACATGTAATGAACCGTTGTTGCAGGCGCACCCTTCGGATGGAGACGGGCGTCCTACTACGTACAAGGCCCCTTCGCGGTTGCTAGGCCTCGCTAACTGCCTCGACGACACACCACCCACTCATCACCGCTTTCTGCCCTGCCTTGCCCTGCCCTGCCCCCTCCCATCTCCCCCATCTCCCCCTCCCCTCCACCATCCCTCCCTCTCTCCCTCCTCGTCCTCATCCTCCTCGTCCTCCTCGACCACCCCCTCCCATCTCCTCACATCTCATCGTTGCAGGCGTTGCTCGTTGCAACACAGTGACCCCAGCCAAGCGGACGTGCGCATCAAATCTCGGCTGTCACGGCACCCCCAAGCCGCTCAGCAACTTGACCCGACGCTTGCTCTGTCTCCAGGCCTAGCCCAACTGCAAACCATCAGTGTACTGCCACTCTTGGCTCGACTCATCTGTCTGGCCCAGAGAAGACAAATCCCGGCTGCAGTCTCCGACATCAAGCGCCTCGCCGCCTGCCTCTTCCTCTCTCACACACACCCGGTGTGCAATCCTCGCCTCTGGTTTTGGCTTGCGCTGCGTAATTGGGCCTGGCTCGGTTTCAATCTCTGCTTCCTCTGCGCCATCCACCACAACATCCCCGACCCCAGCAACGTCGTTCTGCCCTCCCGACCACGCATCGCCGGATCTATTGACTTAGCCCCGGCTTGCTCTTGATCAACTGCCAGTTGCCCGTTACCTGTCGACGCACACTCGGCCGCTTTCATCTCATCTTACCCTTTCCCGCTCGACGCCTGCACGCACCCACACACGCACGTACGCACGTACGCGCCACGCAACAAGCAGTGCCAAACATCCTCAACACACAACAACAAACACTCCTCGCAGGCGACAAATTCTCCTTGAATGAGCACATCTTGTTAGAGGGTCCGTAGGCTACTCTAGAGGCGGCACCAACGAGAAGACTGTACGTCACAAGCCAACAAATCTTTCCAGCGCCCATACGACGCGCCACGCCGTACTTGTTGCTGTTAGAAGCCTTCACTAACACAGCGCCAGGAGCCTTGCCAGTCTTCTCTCTGCGACGGTCCGACACCATCATGCCTTCCTTCTACCCCCGGCATAACATGCCACGGCTCTCTCCGCCAGAGTTCGTACCCAGCTATCACTCTGCATGCGGTGCATCATACCCACCGCAACAGCCTGCTTATGCTGGTCCTACGATCCGCCAACAGGATGATGGTTACGACTTCGCAGACCGCTACGGCCAACTGGCCATCGCCATGCCACCCATGTACCCGCAGGCCGGCACCTACCTAAGCACTGCGCCCCCTAGTCTCCCTCCCGCCAACTCGTTCTATGATCCCATGGGTGCGACTCTTCCCCCGATGCGCATGCAGTCTGGAAACTCGATGGCGGATGCAGCAATGCAGCAGCAGCGGCTTCACGAATACAACCAGCGTGTAGGTCAGCAGGCTAAGGAAGAGAAGCCCGTTGGTGGCGTCTCAGCCAAGTTGGACTACGACATGGAGGTCATGACCGATTTCGTATGCGACACAGCCCTGCGCCTCATCACCCCCGGTCGAATGATGCCTTCCACCTTCCGAAAATGGGTACACCAAGTCCTTTGTGCCACGAGGCTTCCCTCGGCAACCATCCTGCTCAGCATATTCTATCTGTCCAACAGGATGCCGATGCTGGCTCACGAGCCAAAGACGGATACCCATCTGTTCCGCCTGCTTACTATTGCGCTGGTGCTTGGTAGCAAGTTCTTGGATGACAACACCTTCATCAACCGTTCTTGGTCAGAGGTCAGCGGTATCCAGGTTGTTGAGCTGAACGAGCTCGAGTTGGAATGGCTCCTCGCTATCAAGTTTAAACTTCATCGCGACCCCGCGGAGCAACAGGGCTGGACCTCTTGGTCAGAGCATTGGAAGGACTACCAAAAGACCGCTGCTGCCCGCGCAGACCGTACCAGCAAGCTGAGTCCCATTGACACCACGATGCACCGACGCTCATTCAACTCCAATAAGCCGCTTCCTCCTCTGCCGATGCAGCAGGCTTACACTCCATCGTACGACTATGCGCCCAAGTCTGCACACTACAACACTCCTTCTTATTCCCAATACGATCCATGGAGGTCCGCAAGCGAACATTCCCCTGCGTCTGCACCTACCACGGGTCCCGCCACTCCCGAGTACTATGGCGCAACGGGCACTTGGGCTCCCGTTGAGGGATATTCGCGTCGCACCATGTTCGGGTTCCCACCCTTGTCTCAGCCCGCCCCTGTACAGGCGTCCCAGCAGTCGTCCAACTATGGCCCACCAGCCTACTCACAGTACACGCCTTCTGCGTGGAACCAGCATGGCCTGAGTTGTGGATGTGCGTACTGTGTCCAAAGACATCCGCCATACTTCATGGCTCCCGGCTATGGCCCCCAGGCTGTCACTGTCTAAAGCTGGCCTCGATGAGCTGGACATTATCGCGACGCAGTCTTGTTGACTTTCCACGGATACACATTCGTCGTCCTATTTCAGCGCTTCCTTTGTTCAAAAAGTTTCTGCTCATTTACACAAAGTACCCCGGCTTACCGAAGCCACCACCCGGATCATCCAGTCTCGGCCACTGGATACATTTGGTCGCTTCGATTCCTTCAAGCCTAGACTACCGGATCCTCCTACGGCGCAACCGCCCTATTCCCTAAGCTATTTGCACACATATTGGCGCCACTCCGGATCTTACGAAAATGCATCAAGCTTGCAATTATTTTGCACGATAGATTTCACAATTGTCGTCCGCTTTTCTTTCTCTTTTCGCTCTTTTTTATCATGGGTATTACGTTTTAGACTTTGGTTTGTCCATGGTCTGATAGGAGCATGTCAGCGAAATTGTGGGTTCTCGGCGTTAATGCTTTACCACCTCGGGTGCCACCTTGCACTTTTACGATTGTTCATTTCCTCAGCGCTTCCTCTAAGAATATGCACGGGAGGGCTCCTTTATCCATTGGTTCATGGTTGTTTCTTCTTTGGGGCAGGCTGGCGCTTCCAGGGCGTCAAGTCACTCCTCGCACTCCATACGTTGGCGGCTACCAACGGATCTGCCATTGCTGGAGGGCTGCTTATCACGTTCATGAATGTTTTTTTCCTTCTTCAATTGTCGCCTTCCGCTGTAGTCGGGTTGTAATTAATGGCACAAGATTGGTGATACGGAATTCGCTTTATTCTATTCGGGGCGGTGGGAACAAAATACCTCTCGCTTTTTTACGGGCTTTTCTCAGCCTGTGCATCATTTTGGGCAAACGGAGGAAGTATTATTTTGGGGGTTTTCTTGCTTTTTTCTCTTTCTTTCTTTAGTGTACTACTGTTATACATCGAAAGATCCTGATATCCCAGGACACAACAGAATGCGAAAAAAAAATCCTAGAAAAGCGACGAAGTCGCATAAGGAAAATCTGACTCTTCTCGGGTTCCAACCGTCGGTAGTGATGGAGTGTTTTCTCTTTGTTGTGTATGATCAAGTGGTTTGGGAGCGTGAGGGCATGAGTTGGGCTTCATAGGCCTTTTGGGTTGGCAGAGCAGGGTATTAGAAGATAGTGGCTTCTTCTCGTAAATAGAAGACTAGTCCAGTGCATGCGATTCAATCTGAGTTGCTTTCATCTTGGCATATCATATTCAGAGTGTGCGTTCATGGCTGTATATCGATTCTCCGTCATAGTATGAGAGTGAAGCGAAAGAAATCGTAGAACTGATGCTACAACGCTCTTTGCTGGCGCGATCGCCGCTTTGCTCACATGCGAGACATACAGATCTTGAATTGATTGTGTGTGCATCAAAACCTCATGGCTAACCTCAGCATCACCTAAAGAGGACAAAATCCGAAGGATAAGTATTAACTAGAGGTGCATGTCTTTCTTCATGCTGGCAGGTCTACATGGACGGACGAACTACTCCCCGAAAACCCCGCGGAAAGGCAACAGCGCGCTATGCACGAGGCTGACCAACACACGAACCCTGACCAGTCAGTCTCTCGATTCGAGCTGAAAACAGTGAACAATAGATCGTGCAACCCCATGCCAAATTTGTCCGAACACGGATTCCCTGTTGATGGCGAGAGAAAACGGCGAGTGGATTGGGTGGGCCTATAGCAATGTGCTGCGCAACGCTAGCCACATACATGGCTCGGTTATCTCACTACGTCAACCATGTTAACTCCGTTATGCCGCGCTCCTTGCCCGCTTGAGACTCATCTGCAGTCTTACCGCCAACTCTGAAGGACCAGAGACCGTGGGGTCTAATCTTCTTCGTCCGCCTGTAAGAAGAACGCGCGTGTCTGAGCCTTTGCGTGTGTGTGCGTGTGCATAGCCAGCCACAGCCGCAGCAGTTGGTGAGACCGAGCCTAACGCTGTGTAAGTATTCACATATATATATATATATGCAATGCCTTCCCTGGTCTCGCTTTTTTCTAGTCGCTTGAGACTACAGGTAAACAGACCGCGATTTACACAGTACCAACGCAAAGCTCGGAGCTATCAGTGTTTCTTGCAAACACCGCAGTTTAGTACGACAATCAAGATGAGTTCGATCGGAGGCGCAGCTATTGGTGCTGGGCTGTATGCTGCAGTGAGCAATCCAGCGCAGATTGCTGCCACACCCGAGGACGCAGCGGATAAGAGACATCATTTGAAGAACGGCAAGGGGTTTACCAATCCATGGGACAGTTATGTCGAAGCCACCCCGTGGCAATTACTCACAGGCCTGGGTTGGTAAGGGCTCCTGTTTCCTCATTACCCATGTTTCTTTGCAAACAAACATCTATGCAGAAATCACAATCTGACATACTCATTCAGGCGCAAGATCACTGGTCAAGCAAACAGTCCAGACACCACGCCACCCACCGTCCCCGTTCACACTGCGTCTTTCCTCCCTACTCGCGAAACACCCAAATTACGCGCAACCTGGCTCGGCCATGCATGCTATTACGTCGAGTTTCCCAGTGGGTTCCGCGTACTTTTTGATCCAGTCTTCGAAGACTGCTGTGCGCCCGTCAACATCAAGAGTCTAAAGCGGTTCACGCCTCCTCCTTGCGAGATTGAAGATCTACCCGTTGTAGACGCCGTTGTTATCAGTCACAACCACTATGATCACCTTAGTTACCCGACCATTCAGCGGCTGCACCAAAAGTTCCCCGATGCACATTATTTTGCGCCCTTGGGCAACAAGGAGTGGTTTCTTAACAGCGGTGTGACCAACGTGACCGAGTTGGACTGGTGGGAGAGCAGGGACGTGCAATTGCAAGAAAAAAACGACGCCTTATCTGTTGTGCCGAGTGGAAACACAGAGATAGGCAAGAAGATGAGCAGTAGTGGCATCATCACCGCGACCATTGGGGCACTGCCTTGTCAGCATGTCAGTGCCAGAGGTCCCTTTGACAAGTGCAAGACCCTCTGGGCAAGCTGGAGCGTCGAGTCTGGTGGTTCAAAAGTATATTTTGCCGGGTATGTCTACGAACAACATTCTCCCCTTCTACACTTTTGTGACTTTTTCTCTCTCCGTTCAAGGAATCCAATTTACTGACGAGCAAATCTCTTCTTTTCCAGCGATACTGGCTACCGAACCGTCCCTAAAGGCATCCCCACAACCGAAGACGACTACTCGGCCGCATACTCACACCTCCCTACGTGCCCGGCCTTTGCGCAAATAGGTAAACACAGAGGCCCCTTTGATCTTGGCCTCATTCCCATTGGCGCATACGAACCCCGCTGGGCCTTCAGCAACGTCCATGCAAATCCCAAAGACGCAGTCAACATCTTCATTGACACTCGCTGTGTAAGGGCGCTCGGCATGCACTGGGGAACTTGGGTCTTGACAGAGGAAGAGGTTATGGCGCCGCCAAAAGAGCTCAAGGAGGCATGTGAATGGAAGGGTATTGAGCATGGTAGAGGCGGCTTTGGCATTTGCGATATCGGGGAGTCGTGCGAGTTTGAAAGCGGAGTAAGTCCGGAAAAGAAATAAAGGTTTCTGTGGGGAAGTGATTTAACGGGGTGTGTGGTTTGCGGAAAGGTTTATTTTTCAACTTTGTTTCTGATACCCGGGATTCGGTTGTTGTGTTGTGTTCGGGATGTTGAGCAAATGGGGACGTATACATGAATTAGCTCTTGTATTCTTGATCCTCACAACTGTTGTTTTGTACAGCTGATGCGTACATAGTTGTACCAAATTCCGGCCATGTGATTTCTGCTGCTCGAAAACATTCACAACCGTGGGAGTTCGCTGGAAAACTTACGGTATCCCACCGATTCCTTGAGAATTGTAGTACACCCCTTACTTCTCTTCATCGACGCTAGGGTATAAATAGTAATTACAGATTTTCCAGCCACAAGCTACCATCAGCTTACGTCCTGTATGTTTAAGCAACGCCACGAGGAGGAAGTATAGTTGAGTAACACGAAGAGGGGAAATCGAGATTGAAGCAGGGAGATGGATATTGTAACGGAGTTACATGCCTATATATATTATACTACACTAGAATAATCAGTTCAGATTATTCTCGTGCTTACCTTTTGCTGGTGGGTTGGCTGCGGCCGAGTGGTTGTCACGTAGTATTGACTTAGTGGGCATTGGTGCTCACCTCCGCTACAGATATTAGGATTCTCTTAGGTGTATAGGGTGTTGACGAGTAGCATCTATCGTTGTATCAAACATAGGTAGTCGTGAAGAATCTAGTATGCGGTCAAGTAAGTAATTTAATAGGAGTTCTCTAAATAGATTTGTAAATCTGATATCAATCCAAACGAGTAATAGTATCATCCTTGATTGTTGCTATAAATAGACAGAGTTCTGGGTATTCAAGCGAAATATACTAGACTAGAGGATATAGACATTAGTCACTCTGTTATGCATTACTGATGATTACAACAACACGGCACGCTCTCCAAGATCCGCCCGCCACAAAAGCGATAGCACGTACCCTCCGCCCCTCGGCAATGCTTCTTGAGCATCTGAACCCCTGGTACCGCCCACCCTCTGAATTCGACCCAGCATCCTTAGCCGCCCTCTCGTTCCAAGCGCCCGTCAAGCTCATGCTTTACCACACCTACCAGTTCCTCAACCACCTGCACTCGACGCCCAAGCCTCTTCAGGAACTACCCATACGCGTCGTTTGCATATCGGATACGCACAGTCAAATCCCAGACAATGTCCCCGATGGCGATGTGCTCATCCACGCTGGTGACATGACCAACGACGGGAGTGTGGCAGAGATACAAAAGCAGATTGATTGGCTGAGTGCGCTGCCGCACAAGGAAATTGTAGTGATTAGCGGGAACCACGACACGTTTCTCGATCCGAGGGTGCGGGCTTCGCTGCCGGAAGAGCAGCGACGAGGCGCGTTGAACTGGAAGAGAGTGCATTACCTGCAGCACCGACGCGTCAGTCTCACAATCAAGGTCCAGCCTGTGCATGGCAATGATGCTGCCGCTATCAGTGTGAACACGCCGTTGCTGGCTGCGGATCAGTGCCAGAGACGCATATGTATATATGGCGCGCCGCAAATACCCGCCTGTGACCCTATGAATGTTCACGCGTTCCAGTACGAGCGGGGCCAAGATGCTTGGTCGGAGACTGTGCCTGAGGACATAGATATTCTGGTTACGCATACACCACCAAAATTCTACCGCGACCTTTCGTTGCCAGTGGGCCTAGGCTGCGAGCACCTGCTGGCCGAGGTTCGACGTGTGAAGCCAGCTCTACACGTCTTTGGTCACGTACACTGGGGAGCTGGACGGACAGTCGTCTGGTGGGACAAAGCACATGATGCCTATAGGGAAGGGCTATCGATCCAATCGCAATGGACTCGTGGGCTGCTGAACCCATACCTGTGGTTGAACGTCCTAAGGGTTATTTACCGCGGCGTCAGGGAACTACTATGGGATCGTGTGTGGGGAGGCCAAAGCCCTAATACTATCATGGTCAACGCAGCCCAGATGCATGGAAACACAGGGCGCCTGGCCAACTCCATCCAAGTTGTCGACATCTAATGTTGCCCATCACGGTATACCAGTACAAGTCGTAATCGTAATGTATAAATGAACACCTTTTTGATCAACACAGCAATAGCACTTCATTGTCGGGAAGCCTTTTCAAACTAAAAAGGATTCTGTTGATTTAGCTCGACTATCTCTCACACGAGAAGCCAAGTTCAACATGGAGACCAGGCAGATTCGCCGTTCCCCGCGACTTTATTGTGGTCATGAAACCATAAATCGTGCAAACCATGCCATGCCATATTCCACCACTGAGAGCCACTTTTGCGCATACGCTCAGAGACGACGACCACGGCGACCACCCTTTCTCCTGGTCGAGTCGGATGGGGTAGGGGTGACATCCTCGATACGTCCGATGCGCATGCCAGCACGGGCAAGAGCGCGGAGAGCAGACTGGGCACCGGGGCCGGGAGTCTTGGTACCGTTACCACCAGTAGCTCGGATCTTGACGTGGAGAGCGGTGATTCCGAGTTCTGCACATGTTAGTCTGTGCACAAGAAACCTCTCAATATATCCGACTTACCCTTGCAGCGAGCGGCGACATCCTGGGCTGCCAACATGGCGGCGTAGGGAGAGCTCTCGTCACGGTCGGCCTTGACCTTCATGCCCTGTTGTACTGATCAGCGACTGTCGCATATAGTGAGTGCGTTTGGGCGCACTTACACCGGTGACACGGGAGATGGTTTCGCGGCCAGACAGATCGGTGATGTGGACGAAGGTGTCATTGAACGAGGCAAAGATACGGGCAACACCGAAGACGAGTTCACCCTACAAGATGGTCAATTCATGCTGCTATTTCCAATTATCTCGCGATGACGAACCTCGCGGACCTGGGGTCCGAGCTGGATGTTCTCCTGAGGAGCGCGGGCAACCTTCTGCTTGGGAGGCATTTTGGCGGTAATTACGATCTGGGCGTGACTGGCGGATTCGTGATGCTGTCAGCGACTGCAAAGACGAACTTTCTGGTGGGTGGAAATCGCTTGTGTGCGGAGAAACGTAACGCCGCCGTTAGCGCGCCAAGACTCGACCTAACTTTTCTCCATCAGCCGTGAGACGCCTGCAGTTCTTGCCTTTACTTTTCGCCATGGGCTGATCACCAACACCACACCCACGCACAGGAGCGTGCGACACCACTGCAACCATGCAAGACGGCAAGAGTGTTGGCCTCATTGGCATGGGCGACATGGGCAAGATGTATGCTCGGCGCCTAAGCAGCGCTGGATGGAAGTGAGTGCATTTGCGCGTGCTATAGTACAAGCTCGACTGGTTTTGCAATTGGTAAGTCATGACCTCTTTTACTCCCCTCCCCCCCTGTTATGATGACCGTGAGTGCATTTGGCTCGAGTACGGCGTCGTGTCCGCGCTGTTACCGTCTTGGCTTTCAGCATCTGGCCACGGCGTCGTCCATGATGTGAATTCTCGCTACCTAACTTTATACAACTCTGAACTACACCAACTCCAATCCGCTTAGTTCATACTTGTCGCGCGAACTTTGCTAACCAGTTGCTCACAGATTGCTACCATGATCAGCTTTGCTAATACGATGCCTCTCAAGGGTCCACGCTTGTGACCTCCCGGATAAGTTCGATTCATTAGTAGAAGAGTTCAAGGACTTTGTAGGATAGCACTTTTATATAAACTCGATGAATGAACTCAAGCTGAGATTGTGCCAGCCCAGAGTGGAAATCATGCAAAACGGCCATCTCGTGTCTCGGTGCAGCGACTACATCATTTACAGCGTTGAGGCCAAGAATATCGATGCGGTCGTGAAGGCCTTTGGTCCTTGTATGCGCCGATGCTCCTGCTGCTGACATTGCCCAAAACTGACCTGTCTTGTGTATAGCTACCAAGGTTGGCGCTATAGTGGGCGGGCAAACGTCATGCAAGACCCCAGAAATGGATGCTTTTAACAAGCACCTTCCCAAGGATGTCAGCATCGTCTCCGTGCACTCCCTCCATGGGCCTGGTATAGATCCGAAAGGCCAACCATTGGTGTTGATCAAGTACCGCGCTTCGGACGATGAATTTGCTTTTGTGGAGAATATCATGTCCTGCCTTAGCTCGAAGCACGTCTACCTTAGTGCTGAGCAACATGATCGCATCACAGCGGACACGCAAGCAGTAACACACGCCGCCTTTTTGAGTATGGGTGGCGCATGGTATGCCAACAACCAGTACCCGTGGGACAGCTCCCGTTACGTTGGCGGTATCGAAAATGTCAAGATGAATATCACTCTCCGCATCTATTCCAACAAGTGGCACGTGTATGCTGGACTGGCAATTCTCAATCCGGATGCCAAGAGGCAGATCAAGCAGTATGCCGAATCAGTCACTGAACTGTTCAAGCTTATGCTCGCTGGGCAGCGGGATGAACTACGCGAACGTGTGCATGCTGCGCGTAAAGCTGTGTTTGGTGACAATGCAAGTGGCAAGAAGCTATTGCTGCGGGACGACTTGCTTGACCAGTTCGCCCTAGGCACAATTCCAGAGAAGAAGTTGAAGAACAACCACCTAAGCTTGCTCGCCATGGTAGACTGTTGGTGGAAGCTGGGCATAGTGCCCTATGACCACACGATTTGCTCCACGCCGGTAAGAACCATCCATTTTTGAACCTCGACAAAATACGCAAGAGTTTCCTTGGTTCACTGACCACTGCTTTTTTAGCCTTCGCGCATGTGGCTCGGAATCACCGAGTATCTCTTCTGCAACCCTGCACTACTTGAAGAAGCCATTGAGACGGCCATTGATGACAACACGTTCCGCGCCGATGACCTTGAATTTACTTTTGCAGCTAGAGATTGGAGCTCGCGTGTTACCCTAGGCAACTTTGATGGCTACAGGGATAAGTTTGAGCAGATTCAAAAGTATTTTGAACCCAGGTTTCCTGAGGCAACTAAGCTGGGGAATGAGATGATCAGAGTTATACTGCAGAAGACGCAGGATAGTTGAGCATGGTGGGGTATGCGTATGTAAGGCATTCAGCAGTTCACTTTGATGGAAAAATAGTGTCTTCGGAATGATACATGTTATGTCTTTTACTACTATAGCCACTCTGCTCTCACCCTTGTGCCAATGGGTTATTTTCTATACTTGAGTTCAATGCATCCTTATTCCTTAGTACAGTACGTTCATATAAAAACTTAGGCAACATAATTACAGATTTACCTGTGTATTACGATCGCTCCCCGGAGGACTGTTATACTTCGTTCGGCCTAACAAACCAAACTCCTCAAGGCACTTCTTAGTCCCAAGGACCTGGTCACGTCGCTCACAAAAACAGATTAGCTAGTAGGTATAACGTGTTTCACCACCAAGCGCCGCACCCCACCTAGCGCCACACTTCCCCCACTAAGATAACGTCCTAACAACAACGCGTGATGTCTCAACAACTACCAACCTAAAGAGGCTATACTAAAGCTGACGTGCAAATAGCAGTCTCTAAGCTATCTAGAAACTAAATTTAAAGTATTTGACGTGCTAAAAAGATCTATAACGTCCCTAAACGAATAATACGTTGACGACGCGATAGGAAGCACTCTTAACGCGACTACGAGCCTAACTATAAGCGCCTAACAAAACTAGAAGAAGAGGCTATTACTAGGCGTGTAATAGTTAAGGCTAATTAAGAATTACTCTGTAGAAGAGACAACGTGCGAGATATAGCTAATAGACTACTTAGGCTGGCAAGCGGGTTGCCTTCGGGTTGCTAAGTCGGGTTACTAAATATCTTAGCGATTACTAGTTCAAAGTAGATGATTAATAGCTTATTTTAAAGCTTTGAAGTAGTATTTTAACTTTTATATAGAAAGTTTATGAATATGGTTTAGAATATAGAATTAAAGCTAAAAAGGAGCTACTTTTAGGGGGGTACCTAAGGGCTTACCTAACCCGAACTTCTAAAAATCGGGTTGCTAAATAACTTTTTAATTAACGTCAAGGATTAGTTATCCGGCCAGATTAGTCATCCGGCTACCCCACCTAACTTAACCTAACGCTCTACACTATCATAGCTATGATACGATAACGACGCTCTCTATCGCCTTAAAGGCAAGGTAGACTTTATTTTATACCTTAATTAATTTAAAGATATTAAATTAAGAGTTAACGTGAAGCTGTAAAGCTATTTAATGTCCTCTATTTAATGCTTTATAACCGTCTTTAAGGTAGTAAGCCTTAAGCTCTTGCTAATACTAAGAAGAGAAAGTTATTACCTACTAAAGAGCAGTCTCTCGTATATTAGATTCTAGACCTTAATTAATATAGCTTTCTACCTTATATTATTAATATACGATAGATAGTAGACGCGTTACTTACTGCGCATAGCTAAGATCTATCTCTAGTACCTATAGGTAAATACTAAGTGTTATACTTTATCTAGAGCTAGCTAGAGCTTTAGACGAAGTAGACTAAGAAGTTTAGTAGCTAGCGTACTCTTTCTAAGGATTCTATTATAATTATAGCTTAGTTTAAGCTAGTAAAAGAGACGCGCTAGACGTAGTGTCACGGTACGGGCTCACGGGCAGAGAGGACAGGCGCGTGTACAGGTTCTATTGCTACAGCTAATCAACAGGCTCTCACTACAGGTAGTATAGAGTAGAAGACAGGACGTAGCTCGAAGAGCTACACTAGTGAAGTTGCGGCGGTTTTGCAGAATCCGGGTGCTCGGACCCTCACCCGGATTCTGTCGGCAGCCAATCAGACGATCGCGCGCCGGCCACTCAGCCAGCGCCGTGACAGTACTCCCCTCTCTAGGCGGAGCTCTGTCGACGCGATTACCTTGGCTTGGCAGGGTAACGGCGGTGGAAGTTGTTGACGATCTCTTGGGCATTTTCTAGGTGGCTGGCGGGGACCTCAGTTGGCTCGTCGTAGCCAGCCCACTTCACTAAGTACTTCAGGCGGGGGCGACCTCCTCGTCCGCGGCGGTCGAATCGGGAATCCAGAATATCCTCCACCTCCCATTCCTCTATCCCCTCGACCTCGATAGGCGGAGGGGGATCATGGCGTTGTCCAGGTAGGGGGTTGGAAGCGGCAGGTCTTAACAGGCTCACGTGGAAGACAGGGTGAATCTTCATAGACGCAGGCAGCTCTAGGCGGTAGGCGTATGGGCTAACGACCTCGGCGACCCGGTAGGGTCCTAATAGCTTCCAGTCTAGCTTCTTCTGGGGACGGGTAGTCTTGATGTTCCTGGCATCCAACCATACAGTATCGTCCACTAGGAAGTGGCGGGCAGGCTGTCTCTTCCGGTTAGCATACTTCTCGTGACGGGCCTGGGCCAGGCAGATCTCGGCTCGCAGGTACTCGTGGACAGCATTCATCTTCTGGGCAAGTTCCTCGGCATCGCGGGCGGCGGGTTGGTCTCGTGTCAGGGCTGGCTCGAATCCTAGTCTCGGGTGGTAGCCGTAGTTCGCGAAGAACGGCGTGGTCTGGGTACTCTCGTTGATAGCATTATTCGCAGCGAACTCTGCTAAAGGCAGCCAGGTAGACCAGTCGTCCTGTAGATATGACACGTGGCTGCGGAGGTACTGTTCTAGGAACGAGTTCGCTCTCTCAGTCTGGCCATCAGTCTCGGGGTGGTACGCGGTGGACAGGAGGGGCTTGATCCCTAGGCGGCGGGTCAGGTGATTCCAGAATGCAGACACGAACTGGGGTCCTCGATCGGACACGATCGTCTGGGGCAGACCGTGGAGTTTCCACACGTGCTTCGTGAACAGTCTTGACACCTCTTCTGCATCGCAGGTTCCGTGGCAGGCGACGAAGTGTCTCATCTTGGTCAGGCGATCTACGACCACAAGGATGGCGTCGTGGCCCTGGCTCTCTGGCAGGTGTGTGATGAAGTCCATAGATACGTCTCGCCAGGCCCGCTCTGGGATCGGCAAGGGTCTTAACACTCCCTGTTTGGCCTCACGGGACGCGGTCGTTCTTTTGCAGGAGTGGCAGTTCTGGACCCAGCGCTCAACGTAGTCTAACATGCCAGGCCAGTAGTATTCTCGAGACAGAGACTCGTACGTGCGGGCTCTCCCCATATGCCCGGCAACCGGGCTCTCGTGGTACATGCGCAGCAGTTCTGCATGCAGCTCCGGGCACTCGGGGACGTACAGGCGGTCACGGTAGTATAGGTACCCATCCCGTTCCGCGCACTCCGCAAGTGTGATTTTCTTATGCCGTCTAGCGTTGGTGCGGAGTGCGGATAGAATCGACGACAGCTCGGGGTCGTTCTGATACCCGTCATCGAACATGGATTGGATCTGAGGCGGGAGCAGCGGTGCGGTTCTCTCAGGTGGCAGGCTTGGGCGGGCAGGTTGGCGTATAGGGAGTAGGCGTAGCGTGCAGTCGTCGCTAAAGCGGACAGTCTTCTTTGGTGCAGCCTCACCCGGGCTGGCAGTAGGGAGGACTAGGGGGGAACTAGGGAAAGTTTCTTGGGTACCCCCCTGTAGGGAGTCTGGTTCGAAGTTCTCCTTCTTTAGTACCACCCGGCTCTGGTGCTCGAGGCGTTCATCCCCCTTCTTAGGCAGGTCTCCTGACCTTCTGGTTAGCGCATCAGGCTTTGCTCCTAGCTTACCTGGTCGGTACACAATTTTGAAATTAAAACGGGAAAGAAATTCAGCCTAGCGGGCTTGTCGTCTGTTTAGCAGCTTGGTCGTCGTAAAGTATTCTAGGTTGCGGTGGTTAGTAATTACTTTGATAGGAGACGCTGTGCCCTCTAGCTTAGGTCTCTACTCCTCGAAGCAGCGGATAATTGCTAGTAGTTCCTTGTCGTAGATCTCGTAGTTGCACTCCGTGACTGAGTGCTTCTTAGAGAAGAATGCCACTGGTCTTAGAATCCCGTCGTCTCCGTGCTGCGACAGCACTCTAGCCGACACGTAGTCGGACGCGTCAGTCTCCAGAATGATCTCCTTGTCCCAGTCGAAAGGGGCCAGGATAGGCGCCTCCGTGAAGGCCGACTTCAGACAATCAAAGGCCCCCTGGCAGGCAGTACTCCATTGAAATTTGACTCTCTTCTTCGTTAGGCCTACTATAGGCGCTATAATCTTGGAGAAGTCGCGTATAAATCGGCGGTAAAAATTGCTAAACCCGATAAACGCTTGTACATCAGTTAGGCAGGTAGGCGTCGGCCAGTTCTGGATAGTCTCGACCTTTCGCGGGTCCATTCGGATACCCTCCCTTCCTACGATAACTCCAAGGAAGGTGGTCTCAGTCTTGAAGAATTCGCACTTCTTCATCTGGGCATATAAGCCAGCCCTGCGTAGGGCTGCTAGGACCTTTCTTAGGTGGTCTTTATGCTCGCTTCGGCTACGGCTGTAGATTAGAATGTCGTCTAGGTAGGCGGTGCAGAAAACGTCGAGATACTCTCGTAGGGTGTCGTTAATAAACCTCTGGAACGTGGCAGGGGCACCTGTTAAGCCAAACGGCATCACTAGGGACTCGTATAGTCCAAATCTAGTACGGAACGCTGTTAGATACTCCTGGCCTTTCTTAATGCGTACGTTGTTAAAGGCGGCGACGATGTCGATTTTAGAGAAGTACTTCATGCCCTTCAGGTTGTTCAAGCTTTCCTTAACTAGCGGGAGCGGGTATCGGTTCTTAACAGAGATATTGTTTAGACTACGGTAGTCTACATAGAAGCGGAGCCCTCCATTGGGCTTCTTAATAAAGAGGACGGGGGACGCGGCGGGAGAGGAGCTAGGACGGATGAACCCCTTGCGCAGGTTCTCCTCGAGCCATTCTCGTAAGGCTATAAGCTCTTCGCGGGACATTGGGTACAATGGGCCAAAAGGGGGGGTCTTGCCCTCTAGTAGGCGAATGTTGTGATCGTGGGCGCGGTGTGGGGGCAGCTTCTCCGCCTTCTTAGGTGAGAACACGTCCATAAACTCCCAGAGCTTCTGGGGGAGGAGGTCTCCTAGGTCTACGGGATCAGAAGGGTTTAGGGGGTTAGTGCTAGCCAGAAGCTC